AATGAGGTAAAACTCTCCATCATTCCAAGGAGGGGGCAATAAATTTTTCGAGAGGCTCAGTTCAGTTCAGTTCAGTCACTCAGTCGTGTCCAACTTCTTACGACCCCACCGACTGCAGCACAATAGGCTTCCCTGTCCTTCACTATCTCCCTGAGCTTTCTCAAACTCATGTCCATTGAGTCAGTGATGTCATCCAACCATCTTATCCTCTGTTGCCTCTTTCCCTGCCTGCCCTCAATCTTTTCCAGCATCAGGGTCTTTTCAAGAGGCTAGGACAGCTCTTAAGGAAAATCCCTCCTTTGAAAACTGGGAATGGGAAAAAGGCATTTTCCTCATTCATGAGAAACCATGCATCCAGAATATTATAGAAGAAATAATTGAAGAAACAAACTAAACACCAGTCTCAGTTACACTATGGATAAAGGGTAGAAGTGGATTCAGGCAACTGAAGCCCTAACTTGACCACACAAAAGTAGGCAAGATGATCAGATCTCCATATCAAACTCTCAAAAGTTCTAAATATGTGCCCTTCACTTCCAAAAAGAAGGGAGGCTCAGATTAAAGTCCTGACCATTTTGAGGAGCAAGGCTGCAGCTAATTTGCTGTGGCCAGCAAAACGGAGGGAGCTATATCAAGGGAAACGATGTCCTCTGGGATGATCACCCAGCTGAAAAATTACTTGACCAAACACAAGTAGGGTGGGAGCCCCACTGCCCAGAAGGGGGCCAGCTGCTAATTACAGTGTCTCTCTGGAGAAGTGCTTCCAACAGTATTTCTGGGTTGTTAGATGATTAGATTTCAGTTAAATCGATAAAGCCTCTAGGGTTAACTATCCAGAAGATATTGCTCCACAATTATAATGCACAGAAAAGTGTTTATTATCAGTGTTCTCTTGTTTTGGCTTAATTATTTAAGCACTTGAAATTCAGTGGTTATCTTCCCGCCTCCCCAGAAACAATTTGGGAAGGAAATTGGCAAACATTTCAAAGAAACCAGATCTATTTCTAATGGACAAATGAATCTAATGAAAAATGGACCTATTTCTTAGTTATATTCAGGAGGAGCACAATTATTCAATAAATCAATGGGCATTCAGCTCAGGACAGTAAAAGCCACGATGTACTGAGTGTTTACCATGTGTCAGGTTCAAGCTAAGTGCTTTGCCAACATTATCTTATTCAATCTTCATGATTTCTCTGAAGGATAAGCACTGTTACCCCCATTTTGAGATGTGAAAATGCCAAGTCAGTAAAAGAAAGAGACAGGATTCAAATTTAGATCGGTTGGTGTTATGGGTTGAATTGTGCCCCCTATCAAAACTCATATATTGAACTTCTAAGCCCTGTAACTCAGAATGTGACCTTATTTGACAATAATGGAGATATAATTAGTGAAGTTAAGATGGGGTTATCCTGGAGTAGAGTGGGTCCCTAGGCTGGTGTGCTTATATCTGGTGTGCTTATGTCTGGTGTGCTTATAAAGAGAGAGGATTTGGACAGAAATATGCACATAGAGAAGGAAATGGCAACCCACTCCAGTATTCTTGCCTGGAGAATCCCATGGACGGAGAAGCCTGGTGGGCTACAGTCCACAGGGTCACAAAGAGTCAGATACGACTGAGCAACTTCACTTTCACTTTTCTATGCACATAGAAGTACTGCTGTGTGAAGATGAAGGCAGAGATCAGAGTGATAAAACAAGAAACTCCAAAGACTGCCAGCAAATCACAAGCTAGGGAAGAAAAATGGAACAGATTCTTGCTCACAGCCCTCAGAAAGAATCAAATCTATTGATTTTGGACTTCTAGCCTCCAGAACTATGAAACAATAAATTTCTCTTGTGTAAGTCACCTTGTTTGTGGTACTTTGTTATGGCAGCTCTAGCAAACTAATATAGTTGGGTCCCCCAGATCTGTGTCTTTCTTCTGGGTCATGCTAGGTGGGCAGAGTTTCTTGCTGCTCTTGAACCAACCCATCTGGTTAGATACCCTGGACCAACTTTACTGAACTGTGGACTGAGGTTGTGGAGACAACATGTCTAGTGTGGCTTCCTTCCCACCTTCCCCTGGCTTGACTATCTCCTTAGCTGTCTTCATGTTTCTGAGAAATCAATATCACCTCACTGGCCACATGTTGTTCATTCATTCACTGAAAAAAATACTGAGCTCCTTCTTTGTTGCCACTAGTCTCTCATGGAGTCTAGCAGAGGAGCATGATGTCAATGAAATTATTACATTGAGAATTATGACTGCTATACTAAAAATGATTGTCTTAGAGCCCTATCCAACTTGAGACTGATGCTCTTCTCTGCTCGAAGCTTTACTCTGATTCTTTTCAAAAATAAGCAATGAGATAGATACCTCAGAACACCAAGAGATAGAAGTCAAAGGAAACTGTATTGTTTTACTTATTCTGTATTCAAAGCAATGATAAGCAATATTTGGCAATTTTCTGTAAATTTTCTCTAGTTTAATAAAAGCTATAAACCAAAAGCTCACTGAAATCCAAGTAGCAAAAACCCAAAGAAAACCACACCAAGGCATATCATGCATCTGTGCACTGTCACTTCAGTCATGTCTGAGTCTTTGCGAGCCCACCAGGCTCCTCTGTCCATGGGATTCTCCAGGCAAGAGTAATGGAGCAGTTGCCTTGCCAGTAAGTATAAATCCAGCAAGGCAGGCTGAAAAATTAGTGATAAAGATAAAATCTTTATCTAGCCAAAGGGAAACAAGACATATTACATAGAGGGGATAAATATATAAGACTGCAGAATCCTCATCTGAAACAAGGCAAATAAAGAATATGAAGTACTGAAATGAAACTACCAAAAACAGACTCATTAACTGAGAAGTCTAGGTAGAAATTCTGTAACTAGAAAGAAAATTCCTTCAAAAACTAAGTTGAAATAGGATATTTTTAGTAAATTAAAGATTGAGAGAATGCATTGCCAAATATACATGACAAAGAATTCTAAAGAACGCTCATTAGACAGGAGGAAAATAATATGTGTTGAAAAAGATAATATGTAAGTAAATACAAAAGACTTTTCTCATTGTTTAAATATCTTAAAAATATAATTGACTATTTAGAACAGAGATAACAACAACATAGTGAGGGACTAGAATAATGTTGAAGTAAAATAAAAAACAATTGCACAAAGAATGAGGGTGCAGAAAAATGGAATGTTGTAAGTACATCCTTTCATTATGTGTGAAGTGGAATGTTATCACTTGAGGTAAAGGATGCATTTTAAATTTGAAAATGAACAAACAAATAAATAAATCAAGCTACTAAGCCAATAGTGGCAATGAAACAAATACTAAAAAATAACCAATTCAAAAGAATACATAGTAAATGGAAAAATGAACAAAGAATAAATAAAACAAAAAACAATATGATGACCAAATAAACCCATGGCTATCAAAATTATATTCAATTTAAAAATTCTGAGCACTTCAATTAAAAGACAAAGATCATTAGACTAGATTGTTTTTAAAAGCAAGACTCAACTATATGCTTCCCAGATGAAATGCACTTTAAATACAAAGACACAGGATGGAAAAGATATATTTTGAAACACTAATTATCCAGGTAGACTGATATTCAACATTCTTCTCTCGGTAATCAATAGAACAAGCAGACAGAAAGTTAGAAAATATATAGAAGAGTCAAACAACACTATCAAGACCCTTACAACATCTCACCCCAAACCAGCAGAATATCTCAAAAGGTTTAAAATGACAGAAAGTACACAAAGTGTTGTTTTCTAAACACAAGGGAATTAAATAATCAATGAAAAAATCATGAAAATCCCTCCAAATATGGAACTGAAAACAACATGCTTCCAAATGACCTATGGATCAATGAAGAAAGCAAAAGAGAAATTAGAAAATATATTTAACTGAATAATGACAAATCAACATGAATTAAGATTTGTGGATGAATCTAAAGCAATACTTACAGGGAAATTTGTCACTTGAAATGTGTTTATTTTGGGGAATGCTGCACCGCTTGGTATGCAGGATCTTAGTTTCCTGACCAGGGGTGGAACTTGTGTCCCCTGCAATAGGAGCACAGTCTCAGCTACTGGACAACCAGGGAAGTCTTAGCCACTGGACAACAACTTAATGCTTATATTAAGGCAATCCCCTGTGACATTTTTTAAATTGATATATAGTTGCTCCACAATATTATATGTTTCAGATGTACAATATAGTGACTCACAAGTTATAAAGGTTATACTCCACTTACTATAAAATATTGGCTATATTCCCTGTGTTATGCAATATATCCTTGTAGCTTATTTTATATCTAATACTTTGTACCTGTTAATGCCCTACCTTATACTGCCCCTCACCTCTTCCCTCTTCCCATGGGTAGCTACTAATTTGTTCTCTGTATCTGTGAGTCTGCTTCTCTTTTATTATTATATTCACTAGTTTGTTGTATTTTTTAGATCCCACATATAAGTGATATCATATAGTAATTGTCTTTCACTGTCTGACTTATTTCACTTAGCATAGTGCCTTCTAAGTCCATCTATGTTGCTGCAAATGGCAAAATTTCATTCTTTTTATGTCTGAGTAATATTCCATGTGTGTTTGTGTGTATGTGTGTGTGTATCTTTATTCATCTGTCTCTGGATGGACACTGAGGTTACTACCATATCTTAGCAGTAGTAAACTGCCAACATATGGGTGCATATATCTTTTCAAATTAGTGTTTTTCTGGGTTTTTTTTTCAGATGCATAATGTGTGACATTTTAATCCTTAGAAAAACTACACCTCCACTTAAAGAACTATATGAGAATTTCTGAGTGTTACTATGTCTCTCTTTTGTCAAAGAGTGCCTGTTGAACTTGAATGAGATGGTAGAGTCTGGGAAGCAGGTTGATTTCAATTCAATTTGGATGGGTCAAAGTCCATGAGTGTGAAAATACTTTGGGATTTCTAATTGTTTGCTTCCCAGCCCAGGATGAGTTCTGCTCATTCTCCTCTGAGTTCTCCTCTTCCCCGTCCAGTTCTGCTTCCTTTTCTGTTGCTGGAGAGCAATCTGCTGCAGAAGCTGCGAGCTGACCAACATCACCATCACGGTGGAGAAAGAGGAATGTAGCTTCTGCACAAGCATCAACACCACGTGGTGTGCGGGCTACTGCTACACCCGGGTAGGCACTTTGCTTTGCTGGAAGTGAGGGTGCTGAGGGTCTGGACAAGGCAGGTTTCACTGATTATCACTGTCAATATTTTGTCTCTTCTAAATTATAGCCATGAGTCCCTTAGCCAACACTGTCTGTGTTGTAATTGAGGTAAATTACCATGATATCATTTAGATGTTTGGATTTGGATTTAATTCGAATAAAACAAATTCAGGACAGCTCAGATTGATGTAAATGAGTGCTTCAGTAATGTGCCAACTCTGCATTTTAAAAGAGCATTTTTCTGCTAGCTTTACCTATTGAGGGATAAACATGGGCATGAGTACATATCTATAATTAAACATGGAATATTGTCAATAGTCTTTAAAATAGCAATTGCAATAATAAAAGGCATACCTCTGCAACAGGGAGAGTAATAACATTGATTTTACAGCCAAATAAAAAATGCAAGCAGCCAATTATAAAATTCATTTTATTGGCCCATTTTTAATACAATACCAACAAGCAGCCTGAGAGCAATCAATCCCTGGAGACAAGCCAAAATGAGTCAGCAAACCTACACCCTTCTTTATGCTGTCAAGAAAATCAAGGAATAAAGGTATTAAGTCATTTGTCTACATTCTCACAGCTTCTTCAAAACAAACCAGCTAAAGGGGAAAATGTTTCTTTGCCACTTTTCTATACATCTGGCTATTTAGAAGTTTGATAAATTGAAATTGAAAGTGCTGCATCTTAATGAAAATACTTTATTTATTTAATATTAAATGAACTGATCAATAAAACTCAACTTACCACACTTTGGGTGAGATGTAGGCCTGATGGCCAGCTGGGGAAATGAACTATCCAACAGCCCCCTTTCTCCCTCAAAGCCAATTATTTTCTTAGTGGGTATATAGAGGAGTGAAATATGTTTGACCTAATTTCAATGTTCTGGTACTGAAACTGTATCATATATCTTTTGGATTAAGAATTGTACACAGGTACAGAATTTAAGGCAATGGCAAGGAAGAACCTAAAAGGCAACAGAATATCAGAATACAGTATGTGATTTCCCAAACATTTTAGACAAAATATAAATAATTGAGCTTATGGTTCCTATTCCTCTTTTAAATATATATAGAAAAGATTAAATATTTAGACAAAATATAAATAATTGAGCTTATTGTTCCTATTCCTCTTTTAAATATATATAGAAAAGATTAAATATACATAGAAAAAGTTGGAAATATTTTTCTAAGCAATTAAATCCAAATGCTATGTCTTTACCTGTCATTAAGAAAGCTTAAGATTACTAAGTACAAAAAAAAAAACCCCATCTTTAAATTGCAAAGGTCATATCTTCTGTATTCCTTTATCTTTGCATGTTTTTATGCTATACAAATTCAAAGTTTTTATAGAGTTTTAAAAATATTAAATATATGGGTACACTCATGGTAGAGAGAAAAGAGATAACTACATTTTCTGTAACATTCCCAGGACACTTAAGAACAGTGGTATGAGTTCCTTCCTTGCTCCTTCAAGCCATTTTCTCACCTGTTTTTAACTGCTCTGCTTATCCCAGAGACTTCAATTATGAGAAGATGTGCCCATGTCCTTCTACACCACCATCTTGATTTCCAGAACCCAAGAGAAAGGAGCAGTGACCTCACAAGAGACTGAGCTTCCAGATATACAAGCTGGATTTAGAAATGGAGAGGAACCAGAAATCAAATTGCTAACATCCATTGGATCATAGAAAAAGCAAGGGAACTCCAGGAAAATATCTACTTCTGCTTCATTGACTATGCTAAAGCCTTTGACTGTGTGGATCACAACAAACTGTGGAAAACTCTTAAGATATGGGAATACCAGACCACCTTACCTCATTCCTGAGAAACTTGTATGCAGGTCAAGAAGTAACAGAACAAGGCATGGAACAACAGACTGGTTCAAAATTGGAAAAGGAGTATGTCAAGACTGTATATTGTCACCCTGCTTATTTTTATTCAGAGTACATCATGTGAAATGCCAATGAACCACAGCTGGAATCAAGATTTCCAGGAGAAATATCAGCAACCTCAGATACACAGATGACACCACCATAATGGCAGAAAGTGAAGAGGAACTAAAGAGCCTCTTGATGAAGGTGAATAAGGAGAGTGAAAAGCTGGCTTAAAACTCAACATTCAAAAAATTAAGATCAAGGCATCCACTTCTATCATTTCGTGGCAAATAGAAGAGGGGAAAGTGGAAACAGTGACAGACTTTATTTTCTTGGGCTCTAAAATCACTGCAGATGGTAACTGCAGCCATGAGATTAAAAGATGCTTGCTCCTTGGAAGAAAAGCCAGGACAATCCTAAACAGTGTATTAAAAAGCAAAGATATCACTTTGCCAACAAAGGTCTGTACAGTCAAAGCTATGGTTTTTCCAGTAGTCATGTATGGATGTGAGAGTTGGACCATAAAGGAAGTTGAGTGCCGAAGAATGGATGCTTTTGAACTGTGGTGTTGGAGAAGACTCTTGAGAGTCCCTTGGACTGCAAGGAGATCCAACCAGTCTATCCTAAAGGAAATCAACCCTGGATATTCACTGGAAGGACTAATGCTAAAACTGAAGCTCCAATACTTTGGCTACCTGATGTGAAGAGTCAACTCAATAGAAAAGACCCTGATAATGCGAAAGATTGAAGGCAGGAGGAGAAGGGGATGGCAGAGGATGAGATGGTTGGATGGTATCACCGAGTCAATGGTCATGGGTTTGGGCAAACTCCAGGAAATAGTGATGGGCAGGGAAGACTGGCATGCTGCAGTCCATGGGGTCGCAAAGTGGGACATGACATAGTGACTGAACAAAAACAACATGAGTTCCTTTATGAGGTCAAGTTTTCTGCACTTAAGTTTCCTGGAAACTGGTCTTCTGAAAGGAAACATTAGAGCAAGCAGTATTAAATCCCTGTCCCTTATTTACTAAACCAAACAGAAACTTGCAGAATAATGTAACCTAACTCCTAAACCACTCAGGACTTGGTGTACCGGGACCCAGCGAGGCCCAACACCCAGAAAACATGCACCTTCAAGGAGCTGGTCTACGAGACGGTGAGAGTGCCCGGCTGCGCTCACCGCGCAGACTCCCTGCACACGTACCCGGTGGCCACCGCGTGTCACTGCGCCAAGTGTGACAGCGGCAGCACCGACTGCACCGTGCGGGGCCTGGGGCCCAGCTACTGCTCCTTCAGCGACGTCAGAGAGTGAGGGGCAGCGGGCGCTCTGAGCTGCCTCCCCTCACAGGACCAAGCATCCAAGATGTCTGCTTGCACACGTGCCCAGGCTGCGGGAGACCCGACTCATCTCTGCTCTCCCGAGAGGCGGAGCTCCAGGACTGGAGAAGGCTGGGGCCCGTCGCCACTCAACCTAGGTCTGGACTCTGTTGGTTTCATTTAACTTGAATTTAGGATCTATAAGCTGTTTCCCATTTTTAATAGACTTAGAGGTCTTCAAGATCAACCTTGTCATTTTACAGATAACAAAATCTAGACTTTGGAGAAGGAAGTCTCAAGATGATGGAATAGGAGAACTAAATGGAACATAATCTCCTGTAAGATACATGGCCAGCAGGAAGAGAGCCAGTACTGCTTTAGAGTTATGATGCAGGTACCTAACTCTATATCTAATTGTTTCATTATTAAGGGGAGAGTCAGGAAGGTAGGGTTACTAAGCTAAGACTGTGCACTTTATTGCTCATCCATGGAAGTACTGTCATCAGTTCCACCTCACCTGTGTTTTCCAGGCAGAGAAGTTGTTGACCTAAGAGGGTGGGAGTAGGCGCAGAAGGGAAACAGTGCATCCATTTACAATCTGCAGCTTTAAATACAGCATCTTAATTTTTATTTCAAATTTGAATTTAGCTCCAAGACAAGAACAATGAATTTGGGTCTGTGTAAATTCAATTACAAGACCAATGAATGTCTTTTCCTAAGTTGCTACCCTTACATACTATGTCACTGAAATAAATCTAATCAGGAACATCCAGCCTTCTGTAGAGCTATCCCTCAGGCAATAAGACATATCACCTGTTGTTGTTGCTATGCCACTTGTACCAGAATTCTCCTCCACTGCTGGGATAAGAACCCTGAAGTCCACATGATGGCACTTAGGGCAACTTAACAGGCTATATTTAATTTGTTTTCCACTTAACTTTTCAGAGAAATGCATGCCTGCTAAGTCCCTCAGTCATGACTGACTCTGCGATCCCATGGGCTGCAGCCTTTCAGGCTCCTCTGTACATGGGATTTTCCAGGCAAGAATACTGGAGCGGGTTACCACTTCCTCCTCCAGGGGACCTACCCAACCCAGGTATCAAACCTACATCTCCTGTGTCTCCTACACTGGCTCTTTACCACTGAACCACCTGGAAGAGCTTTCAGAGAAATACCTCCCTTAAAAAGCATTGTCAATCTAAAGAGAAAAGCTGTATTTTCTGGACTGTCTCTATATTTGCTTTATCACTTAACTACATGTTCTCCCAAATCTATGATTTCTTTCAAAATGGTGTATGCTAAAAATGCTTTATGACTTAAATTACTTTTAAACATATTAACTCCTTTTTTAACCTGAATATTTAAACACACTTAAAAATCAAAAATGTTACCTACCAAAGGCACAACTTTGGATTTTTCCATGCTCTTGAACTATTTTTTCATGACACATACATGTGTATTTTCATAATTTTAGTGGTAACATTACTAGAAATCTTTTTTAAACCCTTCTATAAATATCACCTGTACTCACTGTTCACGTGGAAATATCAGTAAGAATGTTGCCGAATTTAGGTGTTCTTGTTTCCCTAAAACAGACTTTCTGTTATTTCTTACATCATCATTTTCTTAATTTATCCCTACTGCTCCTTAGCTCCCAGTCTACACTAAAATTGATTTGTTCTCAGAAAGCTCTTAGCATATCTTATTTGAAACTCAGAGCTGGTGGAGAGTTTTCCTCATAATCTTTGAAATCTAGTTAATATTAGAATTAATATACTGTCCAGCACATGGACATAAAGGATTAGTCCCCTCAGGAGATGCAGAAAAAGTTTTTGACAAAATCCAACATCCTTTCATGATACAAACTCTCAACAAATTGGATATAGAAGGTACCTCAATATAATAAAGGCTTTATTTGACAAGCCCACAGTTAACTTCCTATTCAACAGTGGAAGATTGAAAGTTCTTCCTGTAGGAGCAGAAACAAGAGAAGGATGACTGTTCTCACCAGAGAATATTCAAATGTTACTAGAAGTCTCAGACATATCAATCAGGCAAGAAAAAGAACTAGAAGTCTTTCCAAATCAGAAAGGAAGAAGTAAAACTGTCTGTTTGCTGATGACATAATATCTGATGGAGTCCTAAAGACTCCACTCAAAAACTGTTAGAACTAATAAATAAAATCAGTAAAGTTTTAGGATACCAAATCAATGTATAAAGTTGGTTGTGGAAAATTCTGCAAAGAGATGGGAATAACAAGACCACCTGACCTGCCTCTTGAGAAACCTGTATGCAGGTCAGGAAGCAACAGTTAGAACTCGACATGGAACAACAGACTGGTTCCAAATAGGAAAAGGAGTATGTCAAGACTGTATATTGTCACCCTGCTTATTTAACTTNGCTTGAGGGCATTACACTAACTGAAATAAGTCAGAGGAAGGCAAATATTGCTTGATTTCACTATATATGGAATCTAAAATAAACCAAACTCATAGAAACAGAAATTATTGGTGGTTGCCAGGGATGGGTGGTCAAGTGGCAAAATATGGGTAAAGATGGTAAAAGGATAAAAAGTTCCAGTCATAAGATGAGTAAATTCTGGGGATCTAATGTACATCATGGTGACTATTGTTAACACTGTATTATATACCTGAAAGTTGCTTAAAGATATCTTCAAAGTTCTCACCACAATAAATAAATAAAAAGGTAACTATATGAGGTGATAGATGTGTTAACAAACTTTACTTTGGTAATCATTTCACAATATATGCTTATATTGTCACCATATTTCACACCTTAAATTTAATGGTGTATATCAATTATATCTTAATAAAACTGGAAAAAATAAAATTAAATTCCCAAAGAAAAACAATTATTCTTTCCAAATGACTTTCTTTTCCATTCAGTGTGAAATTCTCGAATTGAAAATGAGTACATTTTAAATCAGTGGGCCTCTCATAATAATCATCTGCCCTGTTCTTCAAGAACAGATGTGATTATATTTTTGGACTATACAAAGATCTAAGAACAAACAAAAAGAAAGCTGAATAGAATCATGGAATGGAGAGAGAACTGAAGGCCATCTAGTTCTATATTTCCATTTAGTATGTGCTAACACTGAGGCCTGGGATCACATGGACTGTCATATGGTCAGAATTAGAATTCTGTACTCCTTATTTGGGGGCTTTGCTGGTGGCTCAGATGATAAAGAATCTGCCTGAAATGCAGGAGACATGGATTTGATCCCTGGGTCGGGAAGATCCCCTAGAGAAGGGGATGGCAACCCACTCCAGTATTCTTTCCTGGAGAATCCCATGAACAGAGGAGCCTGGCAGGCTACAGTCTATGGGGTCACAAAGAGTTGACACAACTGAGTGACTAACACACATACACTCCTTATTTTTAGTTTCTCTTCTGAATATTTCCCATTATGCCATCAAAATACTTTACCAACCAAATTAGATCATTCAAATATGGCTATCTGCAAAATGTAGACTATCACAGACATCTATATTCTCTATAATAACATTTTTATGCCAAGACTAGACTGAAGCTCTGGTGATTAAAAAAATAATAATAATAACTCTGTGGATATAGGGATTCTGTCTGCCCTTGTCTGCTTTTGGGGTAATTCCTTGGCACTTAGTAGGTACCATGGTGGTCTGAAAGGATTGACTCAAACTGAACTGAGAATCTCTTTGCCTATAATTTCCATCCAGTTTTCTCTTCTGGAACCGTCCAAAACAAAATTAATCTCATTTCTGCTTGAACAGCATTAAAGAAAGGAGAGCAGCTACACTCTTGCTTCCAGCCTAAAGATTAGCAGCGTGTTCAACTCTTCTATTCTTTGAATAATCCAGGGTTCAAATAGGCCCTTCCACAATCTTGATCAACAATTTTTTATGTGTGGTGGGTTTATATAAAGCATGGAGATTCATAAAGGGCAGAATGGGCTCAGACTGAAGACATTAAATAACTGCAGACAGCAGATCCAAATGGAAGGTCTTTGAAGACAATGAAGGCATTGCAAACATGTCCTGAGCACCTCACCCAGCACCTGACACATACTAGACTCCAGCGACCATGTCTAAATGACCTGACCCTCTGATCAGCACTGTCTAAATGACCTGACCCTCTGATCAGCACTGTCTTACGGCTCCATCTGAAACTGTTAAGGCAAAGCCTTTTGCCCATTTCAAAGGCAGGCATTCTTTTCTGTACTCAGTGTTACTAGCACTTCGGTCAGCCTATTGAGTTTGAATTTTTATCATTACTTCTATTTCTCTTCACAAAGAAAATCAGGAAAAAAAATATTCAAGGCAAGAACTTAAAAGTAAGAGGTGAAAAACCTAAGACCTATTAATAAAATAACCTTTTACCAATATTAACACAGAAACTGTGTTTACATACCATGGGTTGCCCAGGGAAGTAATCAAGGAATATTGGTCTGAACAAACTCAAGTTGCTAACAGGCAATATAATAGATGACTAATAGCAGGAATATGAGTTCAAACGCCAGCTTGGCTCCTTTCTGTGTGCTGTTGATTAAACTATGTAACCTCTCTGAGCTTGTGTCCTCACTTTCAAAACAGTAATAATATTTATATTCGGAAGGAAATGGCAACCCACTCCAGTATTCCTGCTTGGAGAATCTCATGGGCAGAGGAGCCTGGCTAGCTACAGTCCATGGGGTTGCAAGAGTCAGACACAACTTAGTGACTAAACCTCCAAACCACCACCACCAATAATATTTATAGCTAACATGTATATGGAAGGTACTATGAGCCAGGTACTATTTTTTCAACTACCTCATTTAATCCTTATATAGTCCTCCAAAGTAGGTATTATTATTATTACTATATTTTACAGAAAAAGAAATAAGTTCAGAAAGATTAAATAATTTGCACAAGTCACACAGCCGATAAGTGGCAAAGCTGAGATTTAATCCCAGGTGATCATTCAGTCCTAAAGGAAATCAATCCTGGATATTCATTG